CACTTACACTTAAGTCTGAGAGTAGGAGCAAATCTAATAAATTTTCAGCACTTAAGTCTAAAAATCCACTCTAAGAAGTTTAATAAATACGTGCCCAGATGTGTGCACCCCCAGGAAGCTGAAGACCACTTCCACAGCTGAGTTATTTACGGGGAGTGGAGTGTGGATTAGGGTTGGGCAAGCCGATGATGATTGATTTGACGCTTAATCCCCTGGGGCCTCATGTACAAAGACTTGCGTGGATATCTTACTGAAACCTGACGTACGGTCAAATCCAGAAAAAAGCGTACGCACAAAAAAATCCAGATGTATCAAACTGTGCGTACGCCTGAATCCAGAATCCACGCACATTTCTTTTGTACGTCACAATTAACGTGGAACTGAGCACAGGTAAGACACCTCCCCTGACACGCCTTCATTAACAAATGTTAAACAGATGATAATTACTTCCTGCATGTGTGAAGGACACGTTTGAGTGATCCCTGCACGATCAGAAATGATTTCTAGAGTCAGGAAAATAATGAATTTAATATAAAGGTAGTGAGAAAAAAATCCTAAGTAAGAATAAGAGTAAAATATGTTTATCACACAAAGAACAAGTGATTGTGTGTCGTGTGTGTGTGTGCGCACACTGCTGTGTTGTGCAACCAGCTCATCCATCCATTCTGAGTCTGAAAATATTAACTTTGCGCACGAGTTTATTACCATAATTACTGTAAACACAGAGGAACTYARATGTTTGGTAGAACATAGATCTTWGTTTATTTCATAGCTGATATTAAGAAACGAGTCTCTGCGTCTCAGTAGAGTTCACATGACATGATGTGATGTTGGAGAGTCTCCACAAACACTGTGCGCGCCGCAGTCTTTGTGTGCAGTCTGTCTGTCAAGCTTTGGCTCTCCTACTTACAGCATTTTCACAGTTGTAAAGTGTACTTCCACATGTCATTTTGGAGAAATCTACAACAACGTAAACGCCACGTATGAAACACCTCCACTGCCGGCGAGGGTGCGTGCGCTCCAGAGCGTGACCATAACTCAGCCTTTAGAATCATATGGATGAGACGATTCCGTTGGGCATGATTCTGCTTTGGGTGGACTGGACTGACACAGTCCCGATGGGTCTGCCAGCTCCCTCTG